AAAAAAAAAAAAAAAGTTTTTCTACATGGTACCAGGAATAATATGAAAACAATTTCAAATTTTCAGTTAGCTAAAATTTCACCTAAGAAAACTGAAAATCAGATACTATAAGTAAATACCATAATAGTTTATGCACTCTGATTCTTTCCTTACAGGTACAAATGCAGAAAAAGGGACAAACAAAACAAGGCAAAATTTTGTACCCAAAGAATAACTAGAATATTCTGAATCTCAGAAAAAGCAAACATACTCAAAGAACTTTAAAAAAAAAAAAAACAGACACACACACACACAATGCCATTTTGAACAAATCTGTCTGAGTAGATCCTGGTTAAGTGGAATTGTATTGGCATGAAAACTTCCTCAGTGCTCTGATAAAGGATAATGAGGAAAAAAGTTAACTACTTAGGTATAATTCTTTTTTGCTATCATATTTGAATTATTACCTCTCTTAATCCTAATTTCCCTCTATAAAAAAAATAATTTTTTCAAATTCAGTGACAAGTCTAAAATTTGTAACGAGTAAATTTTCCCCATCACATAGGCTGATGATGACAGGGCCATTAAAGCCAAGGTTTTAAAGTTTAAAGAGCCTGAAGACCCTAAAGGGGATTATAAAACACCCAGGCATTTTCACAGAGATCTTACTTCCTTAGATCAGGAATCTTTACTGTAAACATGTGGCCAGGAGATTTTCATTAAAAGAGCGTTTTTAAGAGGGATTTTATTATTTAGGAGATATGTAATGCTTTTTTACCTAAAAGCAAAACAGGTGTTAAGATCCCTATTAAGAGTAGTTGCCAGAAATAGTTGAAAACATTCCAGGATTACTACATCAGAATCAAATTTCAGAGTCATGAAAAAAAAAATCATACAACTGACTACACACAATCTCTCATTGAGAACAACGCATACTATAATACCTGTGAATTTGGGTGTTTGGGGTCATGGATTTTTTACACTTGCAACTGAAAACTCATTCAAAACAATCTAGAAAACTCATTCAAAACAAATTTTATATATACTTATTTAAATTTAAGTATTTTTATTACAAATAAATTAAAAGCTATTTCAGTATGAGGCACACTGCATTCCCTAGGATTTTTTAATGGAAACTGAATTTAATCTACATACTATAAACAACCTACAGCATATTTCGCTTATTAAAGTTTAAACTTTCTCCACAAGGTAAAGGATTTGTTTTCATTATATAGTAAGTGTAATAAAAAGGCCCTGGAATGTAGACTTATGATTTCCTTGATACAAAATCTAAAACATAATTTTTTTCCCTGCCATCATCCCTTGTAACTCTCTGTCATTTCCCTCACCTTTCCTTCTTAAACCTCAGAGTCCTCAGGAATATGGACTGATGTCCACTAGTTTCTGAAAGTGTTTTGCATTGTTGAATATCTGCTGTGCAAATGTCCAGTAGTTGTTAATATTCATACTGTTTGATGCATATCATTCTCTCAAATTCCCTTCATTTTGTTAAAAAAAAAAAAAAGCTGTATCTTGTCCTTTCTTATGACAGTATAATACTCCAGTTTATATACCACATCTTCTTGATCCAGCTATCAATAGACATGTAGGCTGCCTCTATGTGTTAGCCAATGTTAAGTAAGGCTACTGTGAACACTGATGACATATGGGATTTTTTGTGGATGGGCTGGTTCACAGTCTGTGGATATCTGATCAAAAGTGGGATTTTAACTATGAATCCAGATGATTTTATGATCCAGGATATGGCACATGCAGTTTATATTCCTAACAGTACAACAGGGTTCCTTTTTTTCAACATCCTAACACTTGTTAAAGGTTTATTTAATGTGTGCTTTTATAATAGACATGAGTTAGTTATCTCATTGTGTTTTTAACCTAACATCTTTCTTCTTAGAAACAGTTGATGAATATTTTTTCATATGTCTCTTGGAAGATGAAATTCTCTTTGGTGAATTATCTGTTCCTATCTGCTAACCATTTATTAATCAGAGATGTAGAGGTGCCTGGCTGTAACATCTGCCATCCCACTCATCACCTGGGTTGATGAAGCAGCTCTGGCTGGCTAGGCGAGTGTCCCCTCCCCTTCACCCCTCCACACATGCCCCTCCAGATGCTGCATGTCAGCTGAACAGGAAGATGAGACCATTCTGCAGTCAAGTGTATATGAGTAACCGAGCTCCCCTGCTAAAACCTCTGAACAAGTTCTTAATGCCCATTCATTAATTGGGTTCCTTGCTTTTCTAATGTTGAATATTACCTTTCTTAATTGAAAGTCTATTTTATTAGGGCCCTCCCTGGTGGCACAGCTGGCTAAAGTGCAGCACTGCAAGCTGGCCACAGCCGCCTCAGTGAGATCCCTGGCCCCAAAAAGGACCCACATGGCACAGCAGACCTCTCCTGACCCGCCTGCTGCTCTCCTCAGCAGTGTACTTCATCAATCTGCCTGTTCTGCACCCCACTGTGTCTCTGGTGTACCCCCCTCACCCCACACCTCTGGCCTATACTCCAATTCTGTATGCATAAGTAAATAAATCTTTAAAAGAAAAATAAAAAAAGTCTATTTTATTAGACATAAGTATAGCAGTTCTTGACTCTGTTGTTGGGGTGGTCTTTTGCTTGCATTACTGTCTTCCAATCTCAACTCAGTCTGTGTTTGTCTTTGTTAGTAAGATGAGCTGCTTATAAAGTGCTGAAGGTTGGGCTTTGTTTTGAAATTTATTCAGCCACTCTACATCTTTTGACTGGTGTGTTCAGGCCACTTAGGTTTAACAGGATTATTTCCATCTAAGTGTTCATTGTCATTTTATTTTGCTTCCATATTTTTTGTTTGTTTTTTTTATATGGTTTTTTGGTGGTGTTGAGAGATTCTGGTTATGTAAAGTATGACTTATTAAGTGTCCTCTAATTTTCATATGCCACTATTTCAGAAGATCATGTCCTTTCCTTCATTTTTGTGTGTGATCTAATAATTAACTGTGTTGAAAGAAGAATGTATTACTTTCAGTTAATGAGTAACAAATTACTCCAAAAACCAAACAAGAATATCAACTCCCTTAATCTAACTGATCTCTAATGAGGAGTCTATCCAACTGCAAGAATCCAATATTTTCAAGTACACATGGAACAACCACTGCATGTGCCATATCCTGGATCATAAAATCAGTCTTGTTTATTTTAAAAGGTTTTCACAAACCATAATGCTGAACATCTACGTCTCAATATTTTACCTACCCAAAATGGAAGTTCTGCTTAGAATGTTTTCTATTGATTGGGAACACAAAGAATGAAAAACAGCAACCTGTACTTCATGAAACTGCACGATGCATGCATGATGATGAATAGTAATGAGTCCACGTAGCTTGGTGTTGTGAGAGGCCCTCAGGCTGCACAGTCCCACTAGTTCTACCCATATAACAGGCTAGTTCAAATACTACACCAGAGACAGGCAGAACACAGATGCAATCTTAAAAGTTGACTCTTATTTGCAGTAATGAAAGGCACAAATCAAAGTTTAAAGGAGGATGGTGACAACTTAAGGGAATCCTAAATCTGTACACAATCTAAAAATACAGAGATGAACACCTCATCCTTCTCCAGAACAATGTAAATAATGTAAACAAGTTCAAGTAACCTTACATGAAAATAATGTAAACAAGTTTACTCATAGTCCATAAACACATAAAAAGACATATTATGCAGGGGTGTTACCATAGTAAAGCTTAATGGACATGGGAAAATATTTACTATTAACTTAGGAAGAAGGCTATTATTACTCACTACCACTTTTTCAAAAGTAAAATTGTGAGTCTACAACTATAATGAAAGAAGGGTCAGAAGACAAAATTCACTCAAATAATAACAGTGATGGGCTTTAACCAGCAAATGAGATCGCTGGTGATTATTTCCTTCTTTAATGCTTCATTTTTGTTACAAGAGGTTGTTATTACTTTTGCAGAGAGAAAAATAATCAGAGAAGAGAGAGAGAGGCGGGGGGAGAGACACATCAATATATTATCTCAATATATTATCTCCTCTATGGCTGGGAAAGGGCACCTGTACAGTATTTGGTACTGGAAATTTTTATTTTCCTTAGAAAGCAACTTATCTGCCACTCTGCTGCCAGGCAGAGTGCTAACTGTCAGGAATGTAGGAATGAATAGGAGCTAACCGCTGGACTCCCGCAGCTCACCAACCCAACAAAAGAGCAGGGAGGCGAGGGAAAGGGCCAGTAATCAGAGCTCCCCAAGAGGAACCAGGGCAGGTGTCCAGATGATTATACCATCATCCACCCCTGTGATACAAGAACTGTGACTGTGCCACGGCCATGAAAATACAACTGTTTAGTGGCCATGGAGTCTTTTGTAGTTTCCTTAAAAATCCAACCCAAGTTCTTTACAAATATGCTGACTTCTATACACTAGCCAAATACCCTGCTACTGATTCTTAAGGAGCTGAGTCATTCCTCCTCCTCCACTCCAAAAGCAAAGAGAGATGCTGAATGCTCATGGGGGGCAAGGAGAGCTTTCTGGAAGCCAAAGGCACCTGAGATGGGATGCCTGGGATTCATTCACTCACTCATTTTGTGCAAAGGAGAGGATTGAGAAGATGAGCTGCTCAGGCAGCCAGTGTGAGGCTCAGAACTCAGAGACCTTATATATGGCAAACTGAAACACAATGAGTATAATGATGGGCCTAAGTTGTCAAGAAAGATTCGGCGTTTGGTTAAAATATGGAAGAAAGCCTATTAAAAACATTTCCATTTAAAAGTTGCAATTTTATAATTCTAAAGCTTATCATTAAAGTACCAGGTTTCAAGAAAATCTTTACTCCCTACAGTTCAGGGTAGTAAAATTCATGATACATATTACAAAACAAATACACTAGAATAGATAGCCATTATGTATGTGTGTCTGAAACAGAAAGGGATATACGCTCACCCATCCCCACCACAAATTTTCATAAAACATATTCAGAGCAGCTTCCCCTGGACTTGAACTCACTCTGTCTTTATCATCTGCTACATCACAGAGGATGTCGTCAAGGTCTAGTATTCCTCCATCTCCATGTTCCAATCGATGCACCTGTATCCAGTAGTTTGGATCCTATACAAGAAAAGAGAAATACAAAACACAGCAAGTCAGCATCAGCAAAAGGACAAACACTTTAAACTGTGATAATATCCTATCCAAAGAAGGAATCAATCATTACAACAGTGCAACTGATTGAAAATTTAGGTAGTTCCATATCTTTGCTCTTGAGTCAATTTTCCTTTCCTTTTATGATGGAATCACGCACACTCTTTGGCACTGGAAATGATACAACAATTCTAGCAGGAATTGCAGAAAACCATTAGAACCTACTGCATAAGAATTATTGATTTTGCTTAAGTATGACAGGTTTCCCATGGTCCAATATGATTGTTTAAATCCTCTCAATCCAACCCAGAGAGAAATTCTAATAAACAAGCAACATATATTTTGTGTCTAAAAAACTTATGTCATGGTATATCTGGGGGGGAAAATGGTGGAGATGTGACTTGGCACAAATTCCTACACACAGATCTCAACATATTCATAAAAAAGTATATTGACATTACTATAAGTGAACAAAGCAAACTGAAAATCATCTATGTGCTTTGAGTCTACTTTTGTGAAAGCAAAATTATATGTACATGTATATGTACATATAAAATTATCTCACAAAATAAACACCAAAATCTGTGTTGATTATCTCTCACAGATGAAACTGAGGAAGAAGAATGAAAAAGATAACATTTTAATTTTTTTTAAGTCTATGGTTGCATAGAAGAACTGGGGTGCAGGTCAGAGGTACGGGGTGTGAGAGGATTCACTAGAGACAAGTGGGGAACAGAACAGGTGGATTTACTGAACACTGCAGAGGGGAGCAACAGACCAGACATGCTATGTCAGCTCCCTGGCTGGGGAAGCCACCTCAAAAGGCCATAGCAGTGACAGAGCTGAGACAATCCTTAGGCCACCAGGAAGGCCCCCAAAGACTTCATTTTAAATTGTACAGGTTGATACACAGGGTGTTTGTGTGTGTGTGTGTGTGTGTGCATACAGATATACAAATATATAATATATACAATATATACCTACATTGTAACGTCAAACCATATATTTAAATTATTTGAAAAGAGAACACAGCTATTTATTTAATGAAACTGTACTGATCTAGCATTGGCTGACAATCCTATATAATTTTGAGTATACATTTTGCACAGTCACTCCACCTGCCAAACTTCCAGTGTCATTCACACTATCGAAATGACCCTCTCAACCCACTCCTCCAACCCAGCCCTCCCTTCCCCTATTCTAACTAATTTTCCTCAGAGTCCGGATTATTTTTATTGTATTTTGTCTGTTAGTTTGGTTAGTTTTTATATTATACACATAAGTCAAGCCATCAGTGACAACCCTTCACGTTCGGACTTAGATTCCTTAGTATAATCACCCCAAGCTCCACCCACACAAGCTCCATGCTTGTTTTTCAACTCCCATAATCATTCTTATTTGTGTGCTGAAATGAAATAAACTAAATTGCATGTTTTGTCCTTAGCTACTGAATGATCCACAAAAGAGTTACTAATAAAAAGTGCAAGTTAATGGGCCCTCCCTGGTGGCGCAGCAGGTTAAAGCACAGCACTAAGAAGCTAAAGCCACATCAGCATGAGTTTAATTCACAGCCCTGGAGGTGATGCACATGGCGCAGCAGACCTCTCCTGGCCTGCCTGCTGCTCCCCTCAGAAGTGTATTTCATCAGTCAACCTGTTCTGCCCTGGGAAACCTGCCACTGGGAGGCCAGCAAGGGCTCAAGCATTTGTCATTTCTTTTTTTTTTTTTTTTTGGCCACCAAAGAACAAAGTTCCACAACCATCTATATTCCTACCAAATGGTATTAACTCCCCAAAGGGAATCAAGAATAACTAGTATCCTGGAGAATAAAGAAAAGTTCCTTCTCCTAACAATTAGTCCCTAGCCAGGTGGCTAGTTCCATCCTGTCCATCTCTTCCCCCCTACTCCCAGGTAAACTGAAGAATAACTTAATCAAGTTAACTTAATCTCCATATATGATCATAAAGTACAGTTTTTAAGTTACATCTCAAAGTACTGCTTGGAAATAAACTCCTACCTAAAGATTTTCTTGTCCTCTTAACTTTAAACTTCAGAATCTACCATGGTCCAATCTTTCTTCCTTCACTTCCTCTTCCACAGCCAGCATCAGGCCTGCATAATAACTGTACCCTGCGGAACAAACCCTGAGCCGTGCACTCCTCCAGGCTAGCCTTTCCATCAATCAAGACTCCTCAGTCACCCGCTTCTCCAACAGCTTCTGACATGCAACCCCAAGGCAAATTAGAAGCCTAGCTAGATCTAGTCCCATGATAAAGTTCCTTAAAACCCTAAGACAATGGAAACTAGCACTCAGGTGTCAACTTGAGGCTTTAGTTGTTAATGTTTTATTTTTACATCTATTAAAATAATTAGAAAAAGTCCTGTTAACACTATATTAGCCTTTAGTTACTATGCCAATTCTCTGATCCTCTTTTCAACAAGTTTTAAAGATTGTCTATTTTGTTGTTTCAAGATCTCCAAAATCCCTATTCCAATCATGCCTCCTCCCCACCACATTCCCAAAAATGTCCATCAAGGTCACCATCAGCCTCCATGTGCTAAATACAAAAGTCTGTTTTAAAAATCATCTTCCTTGTTCTAGCAACAAAACTTGACACCACTAGTGCTCCTTGAAATATTCTAAGTTTGGTTTATAAGCCTTCCACTAGACTCAGTTGTTGACTCCTGAGTCTAGAGGAGCCTGATTTCAATGGCCAGATACGCCAAGCAGCCACAACACAATTAAAGCACATATAAGGTTGGCACTGCCTAAGCGCCACCCTATGTGACATGCGAATGAAATGACTGGAGAGAAAAAGCTTAGAGGGAAATCACCAGCAAACCTAACAGAGCATACTATACTATAAAAACAATCAGGTCTGTGCAGAGCACAATAAAATGACCTCCTCCCACAGAAGTCTAAAAACCAGAAAGGATTTTTTGCCATCAAGAAATATAACTCCTTGGAACAGTAGTCTCTTGGGAGATTTTAACTGGCAGCTTTCATCAACACAATTCTTTTTCAATAGACAGAAGACTTCAAGGCAATCACAAAGCATCCATCAGGGAAAAAAAGCTGTTTCCAGAAGAGTTGGAGCACACTTGTTGATTCTGCTTTGTAGTCATTTGCATTTAAAATTTTCTATGCTGCTTAGAGAAACTTATAATTGAACAAAATTTCATTATGAGCTAAAACCAATAAACAAAGTTTATCCATCAAGTGGCTAGAGAGAGCAAATGTCAGATAAGGAAAGGATCCCCATGAATAGGTTCAAGTCTAGAGAAGAATTCACATGAGGAATTATGTGCATTTTGTTTGTTTGTTTGTTTGTTTGTTTGTCTGTTTTTTAAATAACCAGACCTCAGGATTACCTAGAGTTGGAGGGAAAGAGTGGCGAAAATATTTCCAGCTGATAATGGAAGCATAGGTGATTTGATATGTGCAAGTTGTAGAGAACAGTGATGGCCCCTCTATCCCTGGATATATCAAGAGAAAGTTGTACACAGGAAATTCTAATAAATGACTGACTTCTACTTTGAAGGAATTTCACATACTCCTTCAAGATTGTCATCTCATTATGCAAAACTATAATAAGGTTTTGTGAGCTGTGGTCTGCATAATACACAGCTTCTGCATATTTTATATTTTATGTCCACACACATCTGCAATTATAAAGAATGTCTTACTGTCACACTGGCCATGGCATACAATAATGGCCTATAACTATAACCTGTCATATTTTCATAGAAATCAAAGCAGATAGTCAACCTGTGTTAACCTGTTAGTATTAGGGTATGACTAATACTAATGGCTCCCACTTTTCTACTCGAAGCCACATCCAACAGTCATGTCGCCAATGGCATCACAGAGCAGACCACAAAATTGCTGCCTTCCATGAAGGGCGATGGCTACATTTAATAAGTCAACCAAAAAAGGAAGAAGAAGGAAAAAAAAAAAAAACATTAAATTAACAGTGAATTCCAACTCCAAGGAGATAACTTCCTGGAATTTTGTTCTTGCAGAACTGGCACATAACCTCTCACAGGTTCACACGTTCGCCTAGTAGCATGGTAAGTCAGTCTATTTCTCACATTCAGCTCTGACAAAACTTTCAGTGCAACAGAAAGATCACTTTAATCATGAATGTCTTCCTAAGACCTCCACCACTTCTGTAGTCAGTGACCCCAGATCACAGAGCTGCCCTGGGACAAGCCCAGGGTATGCATGATAATTACAGTAAGCATCAGTTATATCTGAATTGCTTTACAATTTTTAAATGCATTCACGTGCATTACCTAATATATGGGAGGGTTGATCCTCCCTATTTTCAGATGAGAAAATTAGACTGAAAGACCCTAAGTTACTGACATGAGCTCACAGTTAATCCAGATCTGCTGGTTCCATTTCAGCCCTTCCTCGGACCCAACACTGGTGGCTGTCCAACAAAAGTGTCCAGATTACTAGTCTTTTTCCTACAGCTCCTATTCTCAATCTCCTCCCAACAGCTACACTTTAATATTTTGCAAAATGGGAAGGTCCATGAAATGTCTCTTTTAATAAAAAGTCTTCGCCTGCTTTAAAAAAAAAAGTCTGAAAAAACACCCAATAGTATCACTGTTCTAACGTCACTCTAGTCTGAAGCAGCAGCATCACCACCACATGGTACTGGGGCTCCACTGGGGCCCCACTGAATCACAACCTTCCTGGGGGTCCTGACACCCAAGTTTCAGAACCCAAGTTACAGAATTCAGAAGGGAAACAGGGGGAGGCCCTGAAATACTTTCTCTTTAATGTGTTATTTTAGTTTATAAATTCATGAATTTGGAAACATTTCTTAAATCAAATAGATGTTAGTTGCCATACATACATACACACACTCACACACACACACACACACACACAAACACACACACTTCACTCTTGCGACCAATATATAGAAGTTTGATGTCCACTTTTAGTCTC